CCCAATGATTGTTCTGTTCACCCGAGATAACGTTCCCATTCACCCTAACCGGAGAACCCTCTTGGCACTACCCTCACTCTACTACTCTCGGAACGGCCCATGCCAATGTTTACCGCCATTCCGTTCACTTAGCCCACCACGAATCCATTTCTGTGTTGCAATCAAGCATGCCAGAGTGAGAAAAATTTCAGTTTTCTACTTGGTGATCCCCGCCCACTTCCCTTTGTGGAATTCTCAGTCATTTCAGCGCCTTGGTTGCAAAACACTGAATTATCATGAGTGCCTATGTTCGGTACATTCCCTCAGTTTTTTGTTTGCCATTTAACCTTTAAGGATCTGTTGACTGCATTTCAGTCTTAGGAATAGCGCAGAGTGTGTTTTTCCCGTTTTTCGCACCCATCACCTCCTTGCCCTTTGCTGTGATCTTCGTGGTTTTGATGAGTGATTGTCAAAATGTGGCTTCTTGTGGCATACCTATGATTGCTTTCTGATCTCTAAGACTTTCAGAAATAAATCACCGCGCCCACGAATTCAGCCATCATGGGTAAAGGAGAAAGTGATGTCGTCGATGTCTGTTGATGATGATGACAGGTATGGGCTTAGTTCTTCTGAGCTTCTTGCAGGTCTGCTTCTAAAATTTCTTTGCAGAAGCTCATCCGAAGGCGAATTTGCCCAGTCTGGTATGGTCAGACGCAATCACAAAGCGGCATTGGCCACACGTCGCGAAGAGAACTTAGCTCGATTCGCTTTACACGCCACGCACATCAGCGATAGCGGTAAGTTTTCACTTTAGTAATACCTTGCAATGCATAAATCGGAGGAAAAGCCTAATGCCCCTCACTAGAGTACCCGGTAGGTTACATCCAGTATGCGCGACCTAGCGCGCGCTCATAATTTAACTCTTCTGTTGGATGCGCATCTGCTACCTAAGGAAAGGCCAGGGTGGGAAGGGCCTGGTCATTCCCTGTACGTTGCCGAACGGGCACCTATGTAGTTCAGGACTTTCCTGGTAGAATATCGCGCTCAAGCCAAGGATCATAGCCTGGATGACGGAGCCTTTTGGCGTTAAAGCGATTGCGTCACGGCTGAACTTACCTTGATATAAAGCCGTCAAATAAGTGGCGCAGAATGTAGACCGAAGTCAAACCCCTGATTTGACGCAGTGCTCTACTCAACTAGCAAAAAATGGCACTGTCTAGTTCATGAGCGATGCTACCTCTTGGATGCGCTGAACTCCGGGCTTGCCGTCGGAATGGGGAGTCCCCAGCGAGGGAGATCGTAATTCGTTGCAAGAGGGAGGGCGGCCGCAATTGCCCTTGTGATATGCTTTAAGGTATTGCTTTCTCATTTTCCCATGGAAACCCATTCCGAACAGAAAAACCTGTGATACAGGACGGGAAAAGGGGCCCCCTTCGTACCTTAGAGGAATTTTCAGGAGAGGCGGGATTTTGCAAGAATGCCTCACACGCGGCGTCCCTAACTGCACTACCCTCCTCGGGCACTCATCGCAGGTTGGGTTGTTATTTCCACGTTTACGACGAAGACGACAGAAAAAGCGTCGCAAATGTTGTCGCGTGCGCGACGTTCGCACCAGGACCTAGTTTGTTCAACGGGGGAAATTACGGGGGAAATTAACGTCGTGCTGCAGTATGTCAAGTTAACTACCTACGAAATGCGCTCCTGGTTTTGGTGCGCCATCGTAATGTGGAAGTAACGTCCGAGATCCAATCCGGAATAGGGTAAGAGACGAGGAGGGGGGAGCATCCTGAAACCTCCTACTCCAAGAACTGCAATTATCACTACCGCCTACTGTCACGTTACCTATGTCGATAGTAGGGAGCAATTATGAACTTTTCTCAAAACTGACACCAACTGGATCACCTGAAGCGAAACTCCTGTTTCGCCCAAGGAAGTAGAGTCACCCTTTTCGGAGCTCCTTATCCCAGAAATCTTACGCCTAGCAAAAACACTCATCTTCGTTCCATAATCCAACCTTCGTGCAACAAGTCCCCTTTCGCCCTCACCTCTTTTAGCACTTGCGCCTAGAGTTGTATCAAAGAAGTGGTTCAGCTCTTGTCTCTCTCTGTCCATGTGACTCAATCATAGCATTCATTTTTCAGAAGAAGATTCGTCACCAGACTCACGGGCGTCAACAAGATCCACATCACCACGTCGCTCATTGGCAACGCCATCGTCCTACGACTCCACCCACAATCAGACCGCTCCGCCCACTCACCATGACGATGCCAGAAGTATTGACAGCGGAGGTAATCGGAGTCAGTTTTTATTGCTACAGGTTTTTACGTCTTTTTCAAACAGATCCTTAATTATTGAATAATTAGGACCAGGAAACCAACGACCATACGTCAGCCATGTTTAGCTCATAGCGTTTTATTTAGTGGTACAATCGGACCATTCGAATCCTCAACAAGCGATGACGTTGTCTGTATCATCTTTGGCACCATTCTCGTCTCCAGCAGTGGAAGTGCTCCCTCTTCGACGAATCAGCCAGACTGAACTACCTCCCGATGTGGCCAGGGTGACGGCATCTTTATCCAGTACGTTGTAGAGTTTCAATCGGTTTACCGGCGGCGGATGACAGAACGCGTCAAGGGAGGGCTGCTTTGGTGTGGCATCAGCGTTTTCCCACCAATTCTGCAAGCTGGCAGGCGACCACAGTTGGTGGGAAACTGGCTGGCATCACGCCAAACCCACCCTCCCTCCTGGCATGCCTCAGCACCCGCAACAAACAAGTAATTGGCAACCTTTTTGGGAGCGCTCTAAGATTTTTCTCAAAGTTCAGTAGCAATCCATCATGGGCCTAGAATTTTGGGGCAAAAGTATTCTTTCGACGAGTATTTGAGATCTAATTGAGCGTTCTCCATAGGAACCTCGCTGACAACGCCTCCTCCGATACCGCCACGATCGAGCCCCACTCCTTTGACGGATACTCGACGATCCAGCCCAGCACAGTCAGTGGATCTGATGTCAAGAA